ATATAGTGAAAAAAAAGAAAAAAAAAATAACTATTTCAAAATAAAAAACGATAAAGTCAAAAAAAAAAAAAAAATGATGCAGTTCATGTTTTAAAACATCAAGAGGCAGTACATCAATCATTTGCTTTCGAAATCAGACAGTTATGTCCACACCTTAATCTAATTGAATCTGATTTTGTAAATCTGCCTTCATAATCCTTAAAGTCTTTGATGAGAGGAAGTGCATGTAATATTGAAATGCATGCATATTTACTTCTGTATCTGCTTAAAACAGCAATTCACATTAACAGAGTAGAGATTTTTATTACATGCAGAACTCGCAGTGGATGTGACAGATGCTGTTTTGTGGGGGTGGAGGAATGGGATTGTTCTGTTGATGCCCTTTTAATAGGCACAGTGTGGGACACATGGCATAGTTGTCCTTGACCCGTCACCAGTAGAGTGTCTCTTCTCGCCATCTCTGGCGTGTCCCGCCCCTGTCCTGAGCAGGACTACCCTCTAAACTCATCTCAGTCTCTCACCAAGGGAGGCAGTGGAGAGGATTACTACCCTGGACATAATCAAAAGACAGATGTAGTAGAGGAAAGATCACAAGAGGAGAATCAATGGGATTTTGTTTAGACTCGATGACGATTTGGATTTTAATTATATAGAAAAATTCTTCGGACAACTTGATGGATGGTATTACACAGTTGGTCTTGCTGCTTTGCTTTGGGAAACTGGTTGAGGTCCATCTTAAAGCATTTTGACGAAAGAAAGACTCAAAACCAGTTGTGACTTCTAGGTAAGAAAGCACACAAGTGTCCAGTAGAACATTTGAAAGAAACAGGTTGTTCAACCCTAGAGATGCATACAGATGAGAGATCCTGCTTCGACTAGTGGAGTTCAGCTTCACAGTTCTGAAGTTACCTCTTTGGAAATACATGATGTTACTTCAGAAGGTAAAGATGAAGTGAGAGCTGTGGTGTTCCTTGGTCATCATGCCTACTGAGGAGGAGGAGAACTCTGGGCAACCTGTGTGGCAATCCGTCCTGCTGTTTGGCTGTAAGGGAATGATCGAGGGAATCATTGTCCTCTTGTTTCTCTGGCTGCTGGTGCAGGTGCTCTTCACAAAACAGCATGATGGTATGGTATCTAACCTACATGCACACTTGAGACATGTTTGTCAGGCAAGTAGTAGACAAGTTGTCCATTCAGTGCGAGATTTCAGATACAAGTACTGCAGTTCACGTCTGGATTTTACTGTTCTGTTACTGAACACTGAGTTTATGCAGATTAAATTGTTTCCTTTGTTTGCGGATTACGACTTAACAGTTGTTCTGACATTTGGAATGATGGTTACAGATTAAAATGCTGTTCTAACCCTCCTCTGTCTCTTCAGTCCACTTGCAGATTCTGCTGGGTGTGGGTTTGGTGGTCCTGTGTTTTTCCCTTATCTTGGGCTGCATCATTTGTTGGTTAAAGACCAGACACAAACCACCCGAAGACAAAAACCCTCCTCCTGATTCTGTGGATCATGTGACTGTGGCTTTGAGTCCTGCCCCTTTATCTGGAACCACATTTACCAAATTGCAGTGTGAGGAGCTGGAAGGATCCATTCAAGACTATCCATCTGCTTTCGAGAGCTCTACACCATCAGATGAAGAGTTGACTGCTGTCTCTGAGGTTAACAAGTCATGCTTCCAAATGAGACGACTCAGTTCACCATCAGTCTCCTCTTCTCTATTCAAGCCCATGGCCAGTGGCCGCTCCTCTCTCCCCTCTTTCTCAAGACTTAGTCTTCTCACAAAGACCCGGAAGGTTCTGGAACATCACTGTACTGTGGCTGGAGATAGTTACTCGTTTAGCGAACACAGAAGGCTCACTATTCCCAACCCACGATCACCCTGTGCCCTTTCTCCACTTCAAACCAAAGGTCTTCTACAGGACGAACCTTTAATTCCTAACTATGGTTCAAATTCTTGCAGTGAGACCTCAGATCCCTTCTTGCACTTTACCCTGACCTTCTCTTCAACACAGAACACACTCACTGTATCAATAGTGGGTATAACCGGTGCAGTCCATTGTCTAGAAGAAGTGACTGTCCAGGCCAAGCTGCCCCCACTTTGCCCTGGACCTCTGGATATAACTGCCCAGGATTACAACCTAAGCTCTGGACTCTATAAAAAGAACTTGGTGATCAATGTTGGATCTCTAGAGGGGCTTAAGGGTTGCATGCTCAGACTGGCTATCTTCATGCAGGACAATCAAAAGACATCCCTATTTGAGGAGCTGGAAGTTTGCTGTGGTAGTCTGGACTGGACACCAGACAGGCCTGTAAGCTGCATTAGAGAGCTACGGCAAGTCGTGGACAAGTCCAAGAAGGACACTTCATAGCTCTTGCTACGAGACTATACTGTCTTAAACATTAACCCAAACATTTCAAAGACCTACGCCTCGTGTTCTCTTTCAAAGGACAAGTGGTTAATTTTTTATTCAACATGCTCAACTTTAATTGGATATGGACATTGATGTCCCTCTCAGAATATGACCTCCCAAGAATCAGAAAGAGGTCACAAGGTCCTTGGTCAGCTCTTCATCTTGTTGCAGTACCAGACTGTGGTTCATTGGCTGAAAGTCAAACTTACCAACCAGACTCCAGGTGAGATTAAAATACACTGTTCTCACCCTCTGCCAAATGGTACCCTTGCCCTAATATCAGTTGGACTGATAGCTATACAAGTTTATAGATCATGTTGACCACTCTGAAGTCCAGAACAGTGGAACTCTCAAAAGGGGAATTGAGAGCACTCAAAAGCACCATTCTGAACCCTAAAACAGGGCTCGTCAACTCCAACCCTGGAGGGCCAGAGCTTAGCTCTAACCCTAACCAAACATTCCCAAACAAGTTAATCAAAGTATTGAGAACTACTTGCAAATAACAACAGGGAGTTAAACTGGGATTGATACTAAAGTCTGTAAAACACTGCCCCCCAGGACTGCAGCGGAAGAGTCTTCCCTAAAATTATAAACAGGATACCCTACTACTGGGGTATCCAAACCTGTAACAGAGGCCAGCTGGTAAGAGCTGTGCAGGTAAACCTCACTGCCCTAAACTCAAGAGGCGCACTAGAGGCTGTGGTCTTTAATAAACTTGTCAGTGTGCTCGCCTCCCATGCCGATGACTCAGGTCCGAGTCCCACTCAGTGTGGAGTGGTTAGGCCAGAGGGGTTGCTCCTGGAGGCCTACCATCCTGCAGAGTTTAACTACAACCCCAATCAAACACACCTAAACCAGTTAATCAAGGTCTTCAGGATTACTTGAAAATAACATTCAGGTGTGTTTGAACAGGGTTTGAACTGAAGTTTCCAGAAGGTAGCCCTCCAGTAGCTGGATTCGTTACCTCTGCCCAGACTCGCAGTCATTTTCTGCCCCTAAATGGGTTCAAAATCATTTTATTATTCAGAAGGGTGCTCACAAGTTAGTATATACCATCAGTGTCCCCTTTCTCCAAGGCCATACTGGTGCGGACTTCACAGTAGACTTCTACCTGCCATTTTTTGTGAATCATATGACCCAAATGTGGACTTGGAGGAGGACTGTTAGAAATTAGGGTGGCATTTAGGACAGGGCAATTAATAGGCAAAGATCCATTTCTGTGATTGAGTGGGGCCAAAAAGATGACAAGGTGAGCACATCTGTGTTTCATGACTTGACAGAGGTGGCATGAATTTATTGTGTGATTGGAGATTGGAGTTCATACTTAATCTCCATCTCACAAAATATACTGCATTCACCTTCCTGTCTTAAATTCTGCATTAACCAAATTTCACACAAAAAATTACACAAAGCTTAAAATGTCAAGAGGTGCCATATTGTCCACGTACAATGCAAAATAGTTCCCAGAAAACTGTTTAATGTCCTGGGAGTGCAGGAAAGCATATTGCACCACAAATCCCTCCTATCAGATAAATTAATACATTTGTCATGATATGACAGCACGTCTGCCATATGCATACGGCAGGTCCAGCTTACATGACTGTTATGTAAAAGCAAGAGGATTTATCCATCATAAACTAAGCCTAAATGTTTGCTTTTAATGTTCAGGATTAAACGCTTGTCTTACGAGAGCCAAGATCCACAGGAGATCAGCCTATTTTAATGACATTGTAGTTTAATCCCCCTCCCTCTTCAATCCTTCAGACGACAGATCCCTTTCATTTCAGACCTGCTCAAACCTCAGAAATGGGAGGTCACGGCCATGAGGTCAATTACTTGTACAGCATTCATCTCCATAGATAACACATATGAAATCTCATAGTGTTACATGTGTTGTGCGACTACATATTAGCACTGGTTTTGATATCTAAGTATAGAGAATCATGGACATGTACATGTTTTTAATAGACTACATGTTGACATAATAATCTGGCTATTTTTTCTTTATAATGCATATTTTATTGATTATTTCATCTTTTCTTTTGGCAGAGATGCACCTGCTCATTGTCACTAAGGCAGGTTCTTGTTGGTTTTTAGGCCAATGAAGAATGATAGATTTATTGTGTAGCACAAGTCAAACAGAAACTGTGCTGTGCAACATCATCTTTTTTAACCATAAGTGCAAAATGAAAAGCTGACAAGACCTCAAGTCTGACCCAACCATGGACAGATATTAATGACCTTTATTATACTGGCATTCTGTATCCTATGTTAGAAGACATTTTGACTGAATATCTTTAAATAAATAATATAATTAATTATTATTATGTTACTGTTGTATGAACTGTTACTGTTGTATGTATTAGTGAAATTCAAGACAATAAAAAGTCAGTATATATGGAAAAATTAGATAATTGCAAAGATTAATAAATATAGTCTGTTTCATATGACATGTTTTTTTTTTTTGTGTGTACGTAATTTAAATTTACCTCAAAGTTGTTTCAAACACTTGGAAGCTAAACAACAATACTGAAAATCTGGCAACATGCTTCTGAAAATTTGTTTTATTTTTAATAGCTGTACTGTTTAATTCATAATAAATGGCAATTAATAAAGAAACTGTCAGTGCAGTATGGATTTTCACAATGGATTCTCATCACTTCAGACGCTGGCTCCCCTCTCCTCTTCAAATGGACCCTTCCGTATCTTCCAAATCTGAGCCACAAACCTCAACCTGCCTTGCAAGGAATGTTCCATCACTGCAGCCCAGGGGAAATTTGTCCTGTTGTAAGTTTGGTTGAGGAGATATTACTTTGGCTGGACCAGCAAGACAGAAAAGAAACATAATTACACCACAATAAATGAATGATAGCGTTCTGCGAAACTAAAATAATAGGACCCCACACAAACGTCCAAAAGTTGAACAATCAAATTGGCCTGATTTTTCCATATATGATTGGACTGGTCAAACTTTTCACCTTCAAGCAGATTTTCATTTCTCTCTTTTAGATTTTCCATTGCATCTCTCACTGCTGACATCTGCGAGGGAAGTAAGTGTGGGACATTTCAATGTTTTTTGTTTTTATTTACCACGTATTAGACAGGGTTCACTGATTTTAATATCGCACCACAGCACTAAAGCTGTTTATCCCATTGTACTTCTATTTGAAGTGCTGTAAGGATAAAACAACTACACAACATTTGGAATTTCATTCAATACAGGGTTTCTGATGTGTTTTATCCCTGCTTCTGACCACATCTCTGCAGACGCCCTCCTGCAACCCTAAAAGCTGCTTATGTGCCCCTTCATCCCAGCATGCTCTTCGATTACGACAAAATGTGAGATCAGGACACTCCAATTAGAGTTTAAGACCTGATGTGCTTATGCATGGAGTTGTTTTGTTTCTAAAACTTCCCTCTCTGAGATATCACAGATTTAGAAACAGAACAACAATTCCATCAAGTATCTTATTAAAATATGACTGGTAGGGCAGGTTTTGTTTGTATGTTTTTACCATAATCATCATCATAACATACCTTGGATGTCTTGCTGTGGTTCTTCACACTGGTGGGCTGTTTCTGCTCCTCCCCTTTCTCCGACCTTGTTGATCCCCCCTGAGAGACTGAGATCTGGGATGAAGACCTCTTTGCTGCCCCCTGCTGGAGTTCCTGCTCCAGTTCCTGTGTTTTTTCCCCCTGATGGTTTAATGTGTCAAGAGCATTCCAGTTCTAAATGTGTCTGTTATTAATTTCTGTTTTAAAAGGCCAAAAAAAAAAGTATTCACTACTTGAAAATGATGTAACTATACGAGGTGTTTACCTCAGTACTTGTAGCATTTTGGACCCTGCTGTCGACCAAACCAGATCTTCTTGTGAAAACTGGAGACCTAGTACACATCACATACGTAAACATTTTGTTGTCAAATGTCAATAAAATCTGATTTACGGCCTCTTCTCCAAGGTGCGTTTTAATGTCCGGTCCTGTCAAATGTGAATTATGACACTGGGAAAATTCCAGCGTTCCCACCCCCACTCCTCTTCCTGAGCCAGGATTCATGCAGATCTATTGAGTGAGAGTTAGGAGCAGGGTTATTGCAGTTAACTAAAACCATAGAAAATAACAATAACACATTTGTTACTTAAAATAAAGTAAATGTTAACTGACATACAACAACTCAAAATTCAGCTAATTGCAGAGGAAACATTGTTCGTTTTCATTTAGTTTAAATTGATGTACTAAAATAACTAAAACTATACAGACACATGTATAAAAAAAATATAAAACTAATGAAAGAAATAATGACAAAAACACAACAATATTATTCAAACTTTAATTAAAATTGAAATGGAAAATATAAGAATGAAAACTAATTTAAAATATTAATAAAAACTGTAATAGAATCTAAATTATACTAGAACTAAATAACTAATGAAATAAACTATTATTAGCAACTACTGTTGTTGTTTTCTATACTAGAACTACTGGTTTCCAGTAGGTAAGTAAGTAACCATTATAAAAATTAACCATGGTTTTACTACAAATAAAACAAACAAAACAAAAAAAAAGGTTACTATTGTTAAACCATGGTAGCTACAAATTGACCATGGTTTTGCTGCACTAATGATAGTTTAATGGTATTTGTAGTAAAACTGTAGTCATACAAATGGAAATCAATATGCCAAAAACATTGTTACTACACTTTTACTTTAATAAAACCATGATTAATTTTTTGTAATGGAAATAAATAAAAAATAATATTGGTGTCACAAATTAATTTGGTAAATATGACTTTCGTTAAGTGGTCTTTCAAATATCTTTTTTTTTTTTTTTTGTACCAGAATTGCTGGTTACCAGACAAACACAAACAAACAACAAATTAATAAATATATTACTGGTGTCACAGAAACAGTATTTTGTTCGTAAATGCAACATTCTCAAATATAACTTTTCTTTCAAATATTTCTTGAATGTTTTCTGTACCAGAACTGCTGGTTTCCAGTTAAACTCCCAGTTAAAACTTTAGTCTTTTCCTTTCCTTTTTGATTTCAAAAAACAGTGGTTGTAGAATTTGCTTCAATTTGATATAAGGAATGATCAATAAAAAAGTCAGATAAACCTTGACTGATCTTGATTAATAATGTGCCCATTCAGTGTGTCTGACCATCCATTTCATGGGCTCACTTACTGATTTCTCCACAGATTTTCAGTTAGGAACAGGAGGAGGGGGAGGGGAGAATGATGGAGCCTCCGAGTCTGGAATTTCCCCACAGTCTCATTTTTATACAAGAAGAAGTGGAAATAAACCCGCCTTGGGGGGAAGATTATGAATCAAACTGACTGACAACTGACAGAGTGTTTATGCTGCTCTACTGACCTCTCTCCACGCTGCTCTCTCTCTCTGAACAGACTTTTCAGCTGTAGCACAGAAAGGAGACACAAACAAGCACAGACAGGAAGTAAATACTATAACACTTTTTCTGATGAAGTGTTTAGGAGTTTTTACTGTGGACACGTTTCAGCACCTGCTCGGTGACCAGCCTCCTCTGTTGGTTTGGATCTACAAGGTCCGAACCCGCGGGTTTCTGTTTTTTAGTCTCTAATGGAGATTCTTTCTCTGTTTTGTCCTGCGGAATGAAATGTCAATGAATAAACACACTAACACACATGTGCAAACAAACATCAGTCCATACCTGCTGGGGAGGTTCAAGATCCTGCCGTTTTTGTAAAGCTCGGTCTCTTTCCTGCTCAAGCGTTTCTGCTCGCCTTCTGCCTTCTGGAGCCAAAACATAAAAACCAAGTACGTTGCAGGAAGATATTCATGAACGCTTAGCTAACACATTCCTGTTGTACAAAATGTGCGTTCTTCAGTTATTTTGGCAGGAACATTTCTCCAGTACACAAGGGGGCGATAGAGTCACCTACAAACTGCTGTGCTTTTAAAGTCCGCGTGAACCGGAAGTTGCTGCCGACTTTATTTCAGTGAAGTGACGTAATTCCAGCTGAAACGGAATATTGAATAGAGGGCATGGTTTTATGTTTGCGCTCCTCCTCTCTGTCTCTCACTCATACTGTAGCAATCTAACGGTTGGAGGGGTGTGTTTAAGGATATTCTGCCCAAGCCGTCAAACTGACATCATTTCAGTTATTTCACTTTAATTGCATAGAAAAGGACCTATACATTGCAATTAGAGTAAAATTACTGAACCTAAACATAGGAGCCTGATGAAAATGCTCATTTTAGAAAAAAAAATTTCAGATGGCACTTAGAGGCTTCTGCACCTGAACTCTTCATATATATATATATATATATACAGTATATATCAACTTTTAAATGGTAGTGCATTTTTTCCCTTTAATTTTTTTCCTTTTGTTCCCTTTAATTCCCCACATACTGAGCATATATTTGAAACAAATGACCAGATTTTTATTAAAGATTACCAAAACAAACCATTTTTTTCAGCGGATTAACTTGCACGGATTAATTGTTTACATCAAGACTAGCAATGTGCGCTAGTAAAGTAAATAAAGTCAATTTTGATTTCATGCGGACTGCTTTAAGCAGTATTCAGGTAGCAAGCTATACACAGGTCGACAGTTTCAATTTATTTTAGTTTCAAACTACTCTGCCACCTTTACAGCAGATGCTAATGCTAATATGCTACAGAGCCCCTTCTAGTGTAAATGCTACACCTACTTGCACTGTGTTTTAAACACACTTCGGAACACAACGACATGTAAAATCGAGCTGGTATATCTAGGAGCTTTTGTGTTCTATTAATTATGATACATTTTTGGCCTTTACTCAATCTTAGCATGAGGAAATACCTTCTAGCAGGGCCTTCAGTGACTCAGGACTGCATTCACTGACCACTTCCTTTCTCGACAGCAGACCTTTGTGTCCAAAAATCTGCCCGAGGTAAGAGGCACAAAGACGTGTGATACTGAAACCTCATCAGATTAATCTGTTCTGCCGTGAGAGAGTTTTAACGTCATGGCTGTCGTTGTACCTCCTGCTCCAGGGCGGATATCTTGATCTGAGCCTCTGCTTTCTGTGTTATCCTCTGTATCTCCAGGTTCTTCAGATCTTGATCTCTGTGGTAGAAAGAGAAAAAGAGCTGATGACAAGAAACCTGTCATATAGTTTATTGTTCCATAAAGGAACAATAAGCGGCTGCTTCCTGTTTTACTAGTTTTTGATAGCACTGCATGGTCACATTCATGACCGTTAAACCCCCAACTGGAAATAAATGGTCTGGTCATAAATGGTCATAAACGAACTGAATTGTGCAACTTAAGGTCCTTAAACAATCACATGCATCATTCATTCAAATATGGCCATAACTATTAATTTATGTTAGCACTGGTTATGTTGATATAAAATATATATCAGTTATATATATATATATTGTACAGATAAACATGGCATAAATATATTGCTAATATATTTTAAAATATATTTACAAAATACATATTTTTACTTATAATTGCTCATTTATATATTATATTATATTATATTATATTATATTATATTATCAATCTAAACTTTCTTGGTTAAATAAACATTACTTACACTATCAGAAAATTTATATCAACTTTTAACTGGTAGTGCATTTTTTCCCTTTAATTTTTTTCCTTTTGTTCCCTTTAATTCCCCACATACTGAGCATATATTTGAAATATGCATTTTGGTCAGAAAATAAATGTTTAATATTACATATAATTTAAATCATATAAACATATGTTTTTTTCATATGGGAATGATTATGAGTAAAATATACATACTTTTCTTTAATTTCCTGATCTCTCTTTGCAAGAAGCTGCTCCAACCTCTGGACCTCACCGCTCTGTTGTGACTCCTGCACAAGAAAAATCATATCTCTGTTATCGCATCAGTCAACCAAGATGACACAGATCTCTGTCAGGTTTGCAGGTCCCACCTGATGGCAAGCAGACTGCAGCTCCTGGAGCTGTTCCTCCAGCTCAGTGTCTCTGATCTTCAGCATGTCCCTCACCTTCAGCAGCTCCGCCTTCACCTGCACCAACTCTCCATCCACGACTTCAAGAGACACCTTGGACATGACATTTTTAACATTGGGAGGTTAAAAAACAGTTCGACCTACAAGTTGACATTGTGACCAAACAGCTCTTTAAATGCATATTATATATTTATTCATGAGGGACTTTTTTGACTTAGAACAAAGGACATACAGAGCTACCCGTGAGTCTCTGCTGCACTTGGCTTTGGTCCCTCTCAGGCTCTATCTGTTGCGAAACTTCAGGCTCTCGCTGTAAGACAACGTAAAGATATACTGACATAAAACACAGTAACACTACACTTGACAAATGGTCACATTAGACCAATGAAAGGAAACAACAAATGAAAACAAAAGTTACGTTGTCATTCACTCGCTGTTGACTCTTGAGCTCATCGAGTTCTGCTTGTGTCGAGCATAACGTCATCGCCACATCCAGCCACCTCTCATTCCAGTGAGCAGCCAGTTTCCTCAACTCCTCCTTTTCCTGCTCAAGCTCCGCCCTCATTTGCTGTTGCTCCTCCTCTTTATGCTTATACCCCGCCTCCGAGATTTTGACTTTTTTTTCCAGGTCTTGACATTTTAATTGCAGAGTCTGATTTTCTTGTTCTAGATTGTCCTGCAATTCTCTGTATATATGGAATTAATAACCTGGATCAGAGCCCAAAAAATCTGTACAATCAATATTAATAATCATTTCCAAGCAACACTGAAGTTAGATAATGGACAGAGTTGTCCGACCTGTGCTGGCAGCATCTCTCTCCCAGCTCTATCATCTTCTCATGAAGTCCATCATCAAATGTTTTCCTCAGTTCTTCTTTCTCTCCTATCAGCTGCAAGCGCTCAGTCTCCAGTGCCACAATCTGATTGGTTTGGATCAGTTTCTCTGCCTCCAGCTCGTGTAGCTGGTTAAGAGTCACCTGTAGTCTCTCTGTAGCTTTGGTCAGATCAGATGACAGCTTTTCCTTCAACTGAAATTCCAAAGTATTCAGAAAAGGGTTGTTCAGAACAATTCAGAACAAACAAAAAAAAATTAAAGGGTTTTAATGAAAGCCAATCAAATTGCTTAAAATTTTTATTTGATTATATAATATTAATGTTATTATTTTCTAATGCTATTATTTTAAACAGTCTTTAAAATAATAGAATTTCACCTGATATATAATATAATATAATATAATATAATACAATATATCTGGCAGAGATCATCTGGAAAAGTCAGATCTAACATTCAAAATATTAGCATTAAAAAAATAAGAGCATTATTTCTTTTTGAAAGATGTCTCATGCTCACCAAGGCTGCATTTATTTAATTAAAAGTATAGAAAAAACAGTAATATTGTGAAACATTATTACGGTACATTAAAAAACAGTTTTCAATGTTATTATATTTTAAAATGTAATTTATTCCTGTAATGGTAAAAATTCAGCATCATTACTCCAGTCTTCAGAGTCACACAAATCAGAAATCATTCTAATATGCTGATTTGCTGCTCAAAAACATTTATTATTATTATCAATGGTGAAAACAGTTGTACTGCTTAATATTTGTGTGGAAAATGCAAAAGACAGCATTTATTTTAAATGAATGTTTTTCAGTTGCATTAATTGGGTTTTTACTGTCACTTTGGATCAATTTAATCTGTCCTTAATGAATACAAATATTAATTTCTTTCATAAAAGAACCCCAAATTTACGAATGGTGGCATATTTTTGTACACAGATTTGGAAAAGAGTGACCTCTGACCTCTTTAATGGAAAGCAGCTCCTCCTTCATCAACATGGTTTCCCTCTTCTGTTTGTTGGTCTGGCTCTTAGCTTGAGACAGCTCAGAATGGAGCTCACACACCTGCTCGGTGAAGCCCTGTTTGCTCCTCTGCTCCCTCTGCAACTGCAGATCCAAAGCCTGGATCCTCTGATGGAGCTCTGCTTTCTCCTTTACAGACATAGACAGAAAGGTCAGCGTTTATACCATATCACATCTAAAACAGTGCTTCTGAACTGGAGGACTGCGACCCAGAAAAGGTCAAGGACAGCAGGGGCAATCAATGCTAAAAGCAAGTAGTAAAATGTGTTCGATAAATACAATTTTGTCTGATAAAACGGTTGATATTGTGTTAGGTCATAGCTTAATATGAAATGTGATGTCAGACCTGGACAAGACGGTCTTTGTCCATTAAAGCTCCGGATAGTTTGACCTTTAAGTCATTCAGATTGTCTTCTAGTCTCCGGGTTTTAGTGGAAAACATGTCTTTTTCCTAATGAAAGGAGATAATAGTTTTTCTGGCGGTAATGGATGTAATAATGAAAAATTAGAGAGTGTAGCATAGTTTTTTGCTCATACCAGCTCCATTTGTCCCAGACGGCTGCGGGACTCATTCAGCTGGTCCTCTAGCTCTTTCTGGGTCTGGATGGAGCTGCTCAGTCTTTGTTCCAACTCTTCTGCTTGGTTAATTGCCTCATGTTTCCGCTGTGTAAATGTTTGCGCACTTTTTAAATCTAAACTCAGCAAAATCTCAGCTTAATTTTTGTGCATTAAATGTAACTTTAATCACAATGAGTAAACTTTTAAAGGAACAGTTCACTCCCAAATTTTTATTTTTTATGTTGTTCCAAACCTGTATGACTTTCATTCTTATGTAGAACACAAAAGAACATTTTTGAAGAATATTTGGTAACACTTTACTAAAAGCCTTTATATATAATGCATTATAAATGTAGTTTTAATGCATTACCTTATAATGCATTGTACAGTCTCATAAATAATTATAACCACAGTTAATACATTATAACACTTATCAATTCATTGTTACACTACACATTTTAAATTAGGTTATAATTAATTACGACAAGATATAATGTATTACAACGAATAATCATAATGCATTATAGCCTTTAATAACCATTTATAATGCATTGTACATAAAGGCTTTAAGTAAAGTGTTACCGAATGTTTTTTCCTTGTCTTAAAAGTTATTTTAGTATTATTTACTATATTTATTTTTATGTTTTCATTTTAATTCTAGGTTGTTGTTGTTGTTGATTTAGTAATTTTGTTATGTGTTTTTGTCATTCTTATTAGTCTTTTTTATATTGCTATTCTGTATTATTATTTTAGCTTTAAATGTTTATTTATTTCCACTTTTAGTGCTTCAATTTAAACTTATTTCAGTTAGTTGCCAAAGGCAACATTTCTAATTTTCATTTAGTTTATAGTTTGTATTTTACTTTATTACTTTATTTATATCTTTTTTTAATAATTTTAGTTATAGTTGACAGTAATAGCCTCGTTTTTGGACCCTTCCTTTGACTTCCACTGTATAGACTCATTCAAAATCTTCTTTTGCGTTTCATGTAAGAAAGTCATAGAGGTTTGAACAAACATGAGGGTGAGTAAATAAATAATGACTAAATGTTCATTTTTGGGTGAAAAAAAAATCTAATCAGTGTTTAACCTCTTCAGAGGAGTGGAGCTGTCTCAGTGCGCTGTCTTTCTCATACTCCAGGTCTTCTGTTCTCTCCTCTGCTTTTCTGAGAGCTTCTCTGATCTTCTTTATCTCTTTCTCAACCTGCCTCTGTCCCTGGTGGAAGCAGCAGCATGCAGTACAAAACCTTCTTAATAGACTGAAAGTATCAGAGATGAAGGTTTCTCACATACGTTTGTAGACATTTTTTGTCACACACACAGTGTGCTGTACCTCTCTGAGGGTTTGGTCTTTTGCAGCGGGCAGAGTTCTGCTGAGAGGGTTTGGTGATGTGGGTGGACTTCTTCTCTCCAGGTTAGACCTCATCTTCAAAATGTCCAACTCAAGCTGCAGAACTCTTTGCTCACACGGAGAGAATCAACATATCAAATCAAGACAGAAATGCAATGTGTAAAAGTGTGTCTGTTTAGCTTTTTTCAAATGTTATGGATAATTTTTTCATTGTAAATTATATTATTGACAGCAATTTGAGCACAATAATAATTCAAAATGAGCATTAATTTCTGATTCTTAGTATTTGGTTTGCTCCTGATCTCCAGTCTGATTTGAGTTGATCCAAATAGCATCTTATGCTTCAGTGGATGCAAGAATATCTGATCATCTGTACAAAGGTGTCACATGATCAATAGCACAAATGTGTGACTTAGAAATAGTGCAAAATTCTCAATATTTATTTGCATTAAACAAAGTGTAAAAAATCTTTTAAAAAATGTGTTTATTTTCCGGGGAAAGAAATAGAGTGATATTAGACTTTTGGACCCCACTGTATGATACCATTAAAAGATTTGGGGTCAGTAAGATTTTTTTCTTAAAGAAATTAATACTTTTATCGAGCAAAGACGCCTTCAACAGTTCAAAGTGACACTATTTATAATGTTACAATAGAGTTCTATTTTAAATAAATGCTGTTCTTTTGAAATTTCTGCTCAGCAAAGAATATTGAAAAAAAAGTGTCACGTTTCCACAAAAAAAATATGAAGCAGCACAAAGGTTTTCAACAATAATAAGAAGAAATGTTTCTTTAACAGCACATTCGCATATTAAAATGATTTGTGAAGGATCACGTGACACTGAAGACTGGATTAATGATGCTGAAAATTCAGCTTTGCATGACAGGAATAAATTGCATTATAAAATATATTCAAATAGAAAACCTTTATTTTAAATCATAATAATATTTCAGAACATTGATGTTTTACTGTATTTTTGATCAAATAAATGAAGAAATGCAGCATTGGTGAGCATAAGAGACTTTTCCAAATACAAACCTTTTTACCGACCCCGAAACTTTTGAATGGTAATGTATGTATGCATAAATGAAATACTGTAAAGTTCTAAGTAGCAGTGTGTCCTTGCAAAAAAAGAAATGATTGTATGTTGATTAAATGTTAATTGTTTAAACTAACGTTAATGTACTTGTCACATAGAGTATAGTCTCAGCCTCAGACGTCTCGCCCACGGACTGTTGGCTAAACGTCTGATGCATATGGCACACAAAAGTGGAAACACTTCAGGAGTTTCGAAGTCGTCGTCGGATTGGTTGAATTATACAGGATTTCCGGTAGACGTGCGTGTCACGTTCTTTAACGTTCAACACAGATGCCGTGACGCCAAACCCCCTCACGAAAGAAGAAAGCCGTCGTGTTTACAACTGTGACGACGAGCGCTTATCAGGATCAACAAAATGCTGGATTTTCAAAAGTATGTGAAATATTTAAAGTTCGCGGCATAGAATCTTTCAAATACGTCCGAGAGTTTTACACACCGGTCTGTTATTGTGGCGACATTTCCACGCCCCAAAACGTGACGATGAACGAAACGAACTGTGATTGGTTGTTTGACATGTCGGTCAAACTGCCTCATGGGCGGGCCTTGGCCAATGAAAGCTGTCATGAATTCCAGACCTTCAGCCGTCAGTCTGAAGGTCTGGCTACGCGACACTACATAGAGTATGGCCAATATAACTCACTTGTCATGTAATTCCCCTCGACGGCGGCTTTCCTCAAATCGGCTCAGCTCTGCAGCTTCCTTGTCTTGTTCAAGAGCACTCACTGCTTCAGACAGCTGCTGTGGGGGAGGAAGATCAACAGCGATGAGGGTTCCTTGTAAACAACAGCACGCTTTGATATCCCTTTCCTGTTTACTGTCCCATCAAACCAATACCAAACTAAACCAATCGTTAAATTCAGTGTCTGTAGAGCTCAAACTGCTTCAACCATACCTTGTGCTTCATCTCCAGGACGTTTGAGATGCTCTGGCTTTGTTGAAGCTGAGATCCTTTGGTTTTCAGAAGGTCTGTCTGAGCATCCAGGTGACCTCTGGCCTCTCGGAGCCTCTGGATGAGCTCTGCTCTCCTCATGCTGCTTTCCTCCAGAGCAGCTCTGAGCTCAAAGTCTTCAGCAGAAGAGTGTGATCGCGGAGCTCCTTCTGGAGCCAGACGGGATGCAGATGACCATCTCGTCATGCCCAGGGAGCCCCTGTGGTTCTGGCTGCCAAGAGTGCTGGTTTAGAGACATGTCAATGTTTTTATCATTCATCAGCTGGAAAAAATCATTTTGAAAGTGATTCATCATTCCAGTGATATTGTTCCTCTGTGATATTATCACTGTGGTGTGTGGACTTCACTATTCTCATAGAATTAGAATGATTATTAAAACTTTCTATTGTTATAATTTCCTTGAAATTCCTCACCTTCAGGCCATCCAAGATGTAGATGAGTTTGTTTCTTCATCAGAACAGATTTAGAGAAATTTAGCATTGCATCACTTGCTCACCAATGGAGTGAATGGGTGCCGTCAGAATGAGAGTCCAAGCAGCTGATAAAAACATCACAATAATCCACAAGTAATCCACACAATTAACGTTTTGTGAAGTGAAAAGATGCATGTTTGTTAAAAAAAATAAAAGAATAATTCATAATTAACTTAAAACCATTGCTTCTGGCCAAAACACCAGTCCATAATCCATAATAATGCTTCCTCCAGTGAAAACGTCTATCCCCTG